TATAAAATAATTATTATTAATTGATACTATTATATATTTATTATTTATAATTAACATAATTTAATGTTAGCAATATTAATAATAATATTTTTTTTTTATCATTTTATATTATTTATATTAGTAGTTATTTATTATTATTTATAATTAATAATAATAGTTAAATTTTTAGCTATTATTATTATTGTTGTTGTTATAATATAATATGATTGTGGCACTATGTTGATCCCTTTTTATGATTAGGATTAAATAATTGTGGCACTATATTGAGTCATTTGGTGTTAAACGTAACTCACTTGGCAAATCCGATGAAGTCTTCATGGTTGGTGTTCATATACGCCAGCTCGATGTCGATCAGCAGCAGCACCTGACGACCGCAGTAAGGAAAGAATCAAATAAACGGCTGTTAAAGCAGGTTTATATTAGACGTGACGCGGCTCACCTGTTGTTTAGTGTGGCTCTCGCGGTCGCGGATGTGCTGCGTGACGATCCGCTCCATCTCCTCTCTCAGCATGGGATACTGGGCCAGCTGTGACACAATCACACGCGCGTCTGTGATGCCAAACACCAAATAAACACCACACGAGACGAGAGTTCGCAACAGGGATAGTCTTACTAAATAATGAGCGTGATTGTTTTTGAGAGAAAACCTGTTGCAAAGTCTGTGAAATCACATTATTTTTTTAAAGTATCAACATAAAGAACACACTATTAAACATAATCTTACATTAGATATGTATGCATATGTGGAGAAAACAGGCTGACGTTAAGAAACTTAATCATGTTTGTATGCATCAACATATGTGACCCTGGAGCACAAAACCAGTCATAAGGGTCAATTTTTCAAAATTGAGATCTGTGCATCATCTGAAAGATGAATAAATAAGCTTTTCATTGATGTATGGTTTGTTAGGATCGGACAATATTTGGTCGAGATACAATGTATTGTTGGCTATTGCTACAAATATACCCCAGCGACTTAACACTGCTTTTGTGCTGCAGGGTCACATACAGTATGTCACATGACTCTAAATTTTAATGCATCGGTGTAGTTTTGGTGACCCTCTCAGCTTTGCAATGTCCTGTAATTCAGCCAAATCTAGGTGTTTTCCTGATGAATCATTCGCAATAAGTCCAGGAATGAGTCAGCTGTGATTTGATGTTGAATACTGTAATAATATATGATGCTGATGCACTGGAACTTGTAGTCAGTGTAGAATCAAACACACACACACACACCTTTGCTGGTGATACACAGCCCTACGTGCTACTTATGACTGGTTTTGTGGTTCAGGGTCACATATATATATATATATACTACTAAACACACTAAAACAACATATGGGCAGATTCTAAAACGTGAAAGTATATACAGTACAAGAAAAATAATTATGACTCTGTCTTTCTTCTTCAAATCTGAATCTGATACTGTTTCAACAGCTGATAAACACTCCATTACATCTGTCTTCAGCTGATCCTCAATTACACGAAATCAAATAAACGCCTAAACTTCACGGGAAAGATGTCACGGTATCAAAACAATCCCACAATGCACTGCACTACACAAGCAGAATGAGGAGAACAGATAAACGCAGCGACTGTCCAGAATGTAAAGATGATTATAATAATGACGACAGCAACATTTCACACAGAAATGACAATTTTGTCATCATTTAGACACGTTTAATGTTTGTATAAAGAGGTTTGGAACGACACGACGGTGAGTAAATGATAACAAAATGATCTTTTTTCTGTGCATTATTTCTTTAAACTATATAAAAGACCTACATTCTCAACCACAGATCATGTAAAGTGCAGCCATCGGTCTATCCGTACGTTTCAGAGAGACGAGGACGAACATAGCTTCGTTCTGCTTTACCTTCTCACTACATTTGCGAATGGTGGAGGCGAGTTCGCTCACGACCATATCTATACATTTCAGGCACGGCCCGTTTAGCTTTTGGATCTGCTTTTTCACTATGGCCTCAAAGGCCAGGTCGGGGGTGAACAGGCCTGTCCTGTAGAGACAGTCATGGAGGAAGAGGAAGAAAGAGGAAGAAGAATGACAGACAGACAGACAGCACAGAGGAAAGAGAAGGCAAGTGAGACATTTGGTTTCTCCTCAAGCCGTTCGACAGAAGCTTCCAGAACACAGCTGTGCGAACCGAAGGCAGTCTGAGAGCTTCCCGAGTTCTTCTGCAATGCATTTATTTTTCAAATCACAGACTGCCGTCAGCCGCATCTCTGCCTTCCTCGAAACTTCTGCCTCTAAACAACGGAGAGTTCAGGAGGCTGAGGTCTGCTAGATGAACACATCCTTCATGAGAGGAAAAGCATTACGTTTGGGTTTTGGATGCTGATGTGCATCGGAGTTATGCTGTAAAAATGAATGCTATTATAACCGTAAATACTGTAAAGATAAAGTAATGATGGTGCGTTCGAGTCATGTTGGAAAGGTGTCAAAACTCGAGAAAATACGTTGGATACAATGGAAGCCGCATCTGTATTAATAGTAAAATTTATGAAATCATTTTTCATAAACTATCTAAGTGAAAAATACCCAAAAAAAAAGTCATCTTGTAATTTGCAATGAAAACCCATAAATGGACATTCCCAAAATTGGTGTAAAAACAAACTGTACACGAACTGTAAATTTCACGAACAATTACACAAAAAAATTCAAATGACACGTTGAATTAAATCTTGAAAAAAATCTTGAAATAGTTTTAAAATAGTGTTTTCTTTTAAAATGTACTCCAGCAAAAATCATTTTTTACTGTGTACATTTGGGTTTTATGCTACATTTTACTGTGTGATGTTAAGTTAAGGTTTATTGCATTGTAAAATAAATAAAAATACAAAATATTAAACACATTAATGTTTTAAAGAATATTTCAAATATACATAAAATTACTAAAACTGAAACTAAATAGAAAAAAAAACAAAAGCACAACAATAAAAATAAATGTGTAAAAACACATGAAAATTACTAAAACTGATTTTTTTTTTTTTTGAATGTGTAAATAAAAAAGATTTCTTCGGAGTATGTTTTACAATAAGATACTATATTTCAGTCTTTCTAATTTAAATTTTACATTTAATTCAATGTGTTACTTGCTGTTTCTTTGTGTTTTTGTCTAGCAATTTCTAGAGTGAAAGTTGCTTCAAAGTAAAATCGTGATGTTTTTTTATTTGTGTGTATGATAGTCTGTTACAAAGATAAAAAACAGATTAAAATGATTACAGTTAATGTAATCATTCAATCTGTAAAATGTAAAATCTTTATTTTTTGGTAAAGTTCTGGCAACCGCATAACCCAGCCTGGAGCAAAATCATCTAAATGAAACAGAAATCAAACAATGAACTACGCTCATCTAGCGGTGAAGCCTCAGCGTCCGCGGCCCTCCATACAGAAGCTAATGCTGCCTTTCTACCCAGAATCCCTCTGTCCAAAGCCGCAGGCACACAAACACAGTCTCACAGCACTGGTTTGGGTCCAAGCCTCCAGCAGGCCTTTACCTTCTTGGTACACTGTCTAACAGTATTGACTAGCTCAGAAATGACCATGTCCACGCATTTCTGGCACGGCTCTTTAATCTTCCCAATCTGCCTTTTCACAATGGTCTCAAAGGCCATGTCCGGCGTGAAGAGCCCAGTTCTGCCGCCGGAGAGAACGGAGGGGAAAGAACGAGAAATTGGGCGGAAAGAAGAGTGTTAATCCAAAAGAAATACTATAAGAAAAGAATGAAGAACTGAAAAAATGGCTCCAAACGTCCTGCTGAAGCTGCGCTCAACTGTTACATTTAACACGTTCAACGCATTTAAATGTATCAAATGAAGTTCAGTGTGATAATTTAATTATCACTGAAGCTCAACATATCAACAAAACTAAAGCTGAAATGAGAACAGCACCAGTAGAAAGGACATATTGGGTGGAAAGAAAGATGGAAAGGGTCTTAATGTGTATTGTATTAGTTTAGCATGTTAACTAATGAAATTATTTATACTGTATGTTTCACATTTAGACATCAAATTAAGTCCAGTTTCATTATTTAACTATCAAGATGTCTGAAATGACAACTAAAACAAGAACACTGGCGATATAGATATATATATATATACACACATACTGTACATATACATATATAAACATACATATATATATATATATATATATACACATACTGTGTATATATGTATATGTACAGTATGTGTATATATGTATATGTACAGTATGTGTATATGTATAAGTACAGTATGTATATATGTATATGTACAGTATGTATATATATATATATATATATACACATACTGTACATATACATATATAAACATACATATATATATATATATATATAATTCAGCGAAAATGTCAAATCTTAATGTTTATTTTTTCTTTTAGAATTTAATGCATGTTGTTTTGATGCAAAGAAAATAATAACATTTTTAACAGTAGATAATTGTATTAATTAACATTAACTAACAATGAAAAATACTTTTTATTAAATACTAATTTAGTTTATCAATGTGAGTTAATGTTAATTACAACATTTAATGTTTAATGTAAGCTAATGTTTACTAATGGGACCTTATTGTAAAGTTATTATTTTGTTTGCATCAAAACAAAATGCATTAAATAAAAAAAGTAATATGAATAAATAATAATATTAAATCAAATAAAATACAAATTTTCACTTAAAATAATGCTCATAAATTTAAATTACAAAGAACCAACTATAATTAATAGTAATAAATTATAAAGATGAAAATGATTTTTTGTGAATAAAACAGATTATTGTAGTGCATTTTTTCATGAAAATACTATTTCAGTTTTTCTACTTCAAAATTTAAAGTTCATTCATTGTGTTAATTGTCATTTCTTTGCATTTTTAGTGAAATTAACTAACAAATTCTGAGTGAAAACCACTTTTTTAACCACGTTTTTTTATGGTGGTTGTCAAAAAAGAAAGTAAAAAACATATTTTAGTAATATGGTGCATAAACATTATGAGACATAATCTGTTGGACAAATGGAGGATCATAAAGTAAGCCATAATTAGCATGACAAAAGTTAGTCACTGAAGCCCAAACATCACATTTCTTGGCCTAAAGACGAGCGAGACGCAGTAAAGAGCGGGTTCAAACTGAAGGACAGACGTGCCTGATGCCGTGGATGTTCTTGATGGCGTAGCTGATCTCCTTGCGCAGCTCCTTCTCATTAAACTCCATCTGAGGACACACAACACAATTAATAACTAAACAAACCAGCAATCTAGAACCTCGTCTTCAGATCTGAATATTTCACCAAAAACTCAAAAGACAGGAAGAAAATCGAGCCTGCTGTTTTGCATTGTGATTTATTTTCATATTTCATCCCTCCTCGATTGTCAGCAGCCCACTGAAATGTGGGAAGAGTTATTTTGTTTTGATTTTGGCTTGAGATGTTTTAGTCAATATATTAGAAACATAACAGAGTAATATTACATAGAGAGATACAAACTCCATAAATGAGCAGGGACTCATGACTGAATGTAGTGATATTCATAAGCTACAGAAACCTCAAACAGATCTGTGGATCAAGTACTTCCTGTTGGCTGCTGCAGACAGTGTTTTATTGTGGATGAGTGTGTGTGAGCGTGTGTGTGTGTGTGTGTGTGTGTGTGAGTGTGTGTGTGTGTGAGTGAGTGTGTGTGTGAGTGTGTGTGTGAGTGAGTGAGTCTCGTGTTACTGCTGCTGCTGAACGATACAGAGACTCCTAAAGATAGTTTTCTCTTTACTCTCACTGCAGATAAACTGCAGGAGACAGACTAAACAATACCAGTCACAATTTAGGAATAATTGCATTTTTTATATCTCTTCTTTTTACCAAGGCTGCATTTATTTGATCAAAAATACAGTAAAAATTGTGAAATATTATT